CTCAGTGCACACTGGTGGCCCCTCTTCCCTGCTGAAGAGAATTGTTATTTCTCCGCAGTGATTTCAAGAAGGGACCAGAATCCCTCAAGCAATTCTATCAGACGCTGGGGCTCCGTGTCTTGCCTAGCAGGCCTGGTCGTGGGGCACAGGGTGGGCTCGAGCCACACTTCTCAGAGGTGGGCGGTATCAGAAGTGACCCCGGTGGGAAGCTGTTCCAATATGTGCTGGGCCCCACCCCCAGAACCTCCCCAGGAGGCGGGGTCTCTGAGAAGGCCTGAGGGGACATTCCCAGACACTTCGAGAGCCCTCTTCTTGAAAGACTGTCAGGCACAGGCCATGGGGAGGCTCGCAAAACTGTTTATTTCCCCCCCCATGATAAGAAAGGACGGATGCAGGTGCCGAGAAAGTCCAGCCATTCCCCTGGTGAACACGCACGGCTCGCACACAAACCTAACAGGCTGTGCCTTTCCCTTTCCTGTTTCAACAGAACCGTAGGGCACCTTCTGAGTGCTCCCCGGGGCATCGGGGCATCGTGTGATGCAGCTTCTGGGCGGAACTGGTCATACCTGCTACTCTACCGCAGCCCCATCGTTGGGCGTAAAACACCCGATTGGCCAAAAAAAAAAAAAAAAAAAAGTACCAAACGTCAAATTTCGTATGGTCAGTGCAAGAACTGGTTTTCTCTCGGCATCTGGACTGGCTGCCCCCCGAAAAACGCCCTTCCTTCCTGGGTCCTTCGCAAGGCCCAGCCCGCAGGCAGAGAAAGGAGCAAGCGCTGACCTCTGCATGAAGAAAATAATACGAACAAGCAAGGTTTCCAACAAACGGTTGAGTAATTGGGCTCGCTATTTAAATACCAAAACACAGGAGATGAACTTGTTCATCTGGCCGCAGCTTAATACGTGCGGGCCTGACATTACAAACAAAAACTTAAGAGAGCTCGGCAGGGCGGGCACGGTGGCCGGAGCAAGGACTTGGCCCGGAGGCGTGGCGGCGCCAGGACGGGCCCTCAGAACCAGTACTCGGAGACGAAGATGTGCACGTTGACGACGTTTCGGTGGGACACCACCCCCCCGACCACGTAGTTCATCTCCAGCTTCAGGACGGCGTGAAACGGGCCCACGATGGGCCGTACTTGGCGCACGACACCTGGGGAGAGAACGGAAGGCGTCTTAGACCGCGTCGAGCCCCACTCTGAGACGGACGCTGGAGTCCCCTGCGTGGCATAGGACGGTGAGCTCACCGCAGTCATTTTCCTGACGGGGGATTCGAAAGAGCCCAGAAGAGGGCCTGTCGTGGAGCGGGCGCCCAGGACACGACTGTCCCTCCCTGGACCGGGGGAGGGACCACACGAAGGCCATGACTGGAGGCCTCCTCCCCTGTGCCTGGCCACCTCCCTGTCTCCGGGCCCTGCCGGCACCTCCTCGCCTCTGCGGGACGGCCAAAGGCCCAGAGAGAACTCTCCCGCACTCTGGGACGAGACACACGAGGCTAGGGTGGGCGTTAGCCTCGCTGGGCTGTGGAAAGACTGCAGCTGTCTCTGGGCCTCCGATTCCTCAGGGAGCAAATGATACCATGTGACCCCGTGCTTCTGCACCACGTGATCCGGGCGACCCAGCACAGCATCTGCCCGAGATGCGCAGGGCGACCTCCCCGCCAGACGGAGGGCTCCCCTCTTCACCTCCCCACGCATTCATGCCTTCTCCCGTAGGCACCAGGGCTGTTCTCAGTGAGACAGAGAAAATAATAGAATCCTGGCTTCAAAGCCGATGGAGGATCTAAGTAAGTGCAGGGCTGAGAGAAGTCCAGCAGGGGAGAATGGAGGAGGTGAAGTCTGGGGGAGTCAGGGAGGGCTTCTTGGAGGAGGCGTTCCTCCCGACAGACGAAGCAACGCAAGCAAAGTCTGCAGGCTCGTTGAGCCTCAGTCCCTGCAGGGGACTTTCTCCATCCCACCTGTTCTGATGCTAGGACTTGTCCAAGGTCATGTGATATGGGGGGGTGGCGGTTCCCTGGAAGTACTCTATGGCCACTTCTGTGGCTGATCTGCAGCTGAAGGCCAGGGTGGGAAGCGTGGGCTAGCACCTGCCAGTCACGTGACCCAGAGCAAGCTTAGAGCCTGAAGTTCCACAACCACATGCTGAGAACTCGCCACTGATTGTTTGCGGCATCGACTGCTGATTCCAGGCTGGTTTCTACAAACATCCCTGCCGCCGACTTAGGAAGCACGCACGAGGCAGCGCGGTGAGGCCCCTGGGGCCCACATAGAAGGCTGGAGAAGGCCTCCCGCACCAGCGCTGGCTCCCGGTCAGGAACACCAAGTTCATGCTCAGAAGGGGAATTTGGGAGTGCCATCCCCCCTTTCACTCTCTGGGCTTGTGTTTCAAAAATGAAATGCCCGGCAGCCGGCGTGGGATTCCAGGCTATTCTAAGTAAACAAGGGCTTCAGCTCTGATGGAGAGATATTCTGCAGGCTGTCAGCACCCTTTCTCTGCCCCCGCCGGGTGGTGACATTGTAGCTTTGTCCTGGGTGAACGCCCACGAACATCTTCAGCTCGCCGCTGAAGACGTGGGCTTGTCACCACCCTCCGTGTGCCAGCGGCCCCTGTTGACCCGGCCACTCCCACCCACCCCTCCCGGGGTACAGAGTCTGGGCCAGCTCAGTGGGGGCTCACAGGTGCTGAGTCAAGCATGCTTCCCTGTCCCCCCCCTCCCCCCCAGGCAGTCCAGCACCCGCTGTGCCCTGATCACTATCACTTTCTCCTCCCTCCTGGCCTCAGCCCCACAGTGGTGCCCACCGGCCTCGGGGGCCTGGGTTACCTGCGGACGTCACCTGTCCTTGGGGCTGAGGTTAAGACTACGCTCCCAGTACTCAGAGTTTCCAGATCTTCAAGGAAGAGGTGAGAGGCTGGGGGAGCCTGAGAACTATTTTTTTTTTTTAATGTTCATTTATTTTTGAGACACAGAGACAGTGTGTGAGTGGGGGAGGGGCAGAGAGCGAGGGAGACAGAGAATCCGAAGCAGGCTCCAGGTTCTGAGTTGTCAGCACAGAGCCCGACGCGGGGCTCGAACTCACAGACCGCGAGATCATGACCTGAGCCGAAGTTGGTGCTTAACCGACTAAGCCACCCAGGCGTCCTATATTACATAGGTATTATATAATGCCAAATATATAACTACATAATAGGAAATATGTAAATATACTTATTTAAAATATGTTAAAATCTAACATATAAATATTATGTATAAATATATAGTCGTATGTTTCAAATTTATAGAAACTTATACATATCTGTATATCTTATGTTATGTAGATATGTTTATGAATGTTACATAAAACATATAAAATGTACTTATTACAAATTTATATGTAAAATATAAATATTATCAAATAAGGACGCACACACATTTGAACAGCATTAACAGTTCAGACCCACAGAAGTTCCCGGTGTGCCTGTGTGTGCCAAGCGCTGGGCTACGTAAATCTGGAGAGAACACGGTGGGCTGTCCTGTGGCTCAGTGTGGGCACAGAGAACAGCAGTTACGGCCCCAGAAGGGTTTGTTAACTTTCCTGGGTCTTAATTTCCTCTTCTGTGAAACACGGATTAAAAATAGCAACCTTCGGGGCTGTGTGAGCGGCTCAGTCAGTTAAGCGGCTGACTCTTGGTTTGATCAGGTCACAGTCTCACAGTTTCATGGGTTTGAGCCCCGCATCGGGCACCACGCTGATGGTGCAGAGCCTGCTCGAGATTCTCTCTCTCCCTCTCTCTCAGCCCCTCCAACACTCACGCTGTCTGTCTCTCTCAAAATAAATAAATAAACTTAAACATAAAAATAGCAACCTTCAAAATCAGAAACAGAACAAGCACAAGCATACCCTCTACCTCCTCAGAAATGACTCGCGGCGGCAAAACGCATCCCATTTCCAATTTAAATGTGATCTGATTTTCAAAGGACGGCTGAACTCTTGCAGGATGGAAAAAGAGGGCAAGTGTTGAGTATTCTTATTGGGTTGATTTCAAAACGTACTGAAAGGAAGGCCCCAAATGTGTAGAGCTCGTCTGCATCTAAGTCCATCACAGGCGCTGTTGGAGGTTTGATTTCTGCGAGGCAGCGGCTCGCCTGTGGCTCGGGCCGCAGCTGCGCACAGAGACCAAAGAACCAGGGAAGGAAGCCAGGGGCTGCCTGAGTGAAAGGGACACTGGGAAGGGCCAGGGAGGAGGGGGCCTGACTTCTGATGCAGGTCACATGCAGAGTCGGGATTTTGCAGAATCTTCCCATTTAACGAGAAAAGTGATTGATTAAGGTGGCACGAATATTCGTGCTGCAAGTGTGAAACGAGAAATCCCAAGTGCACAAGCGGGGCTCAGGAGTGTGGCCCTTGCCTTCCCCCCACCCTCCAACCAGAAGGAGCTTCTCGATCCCTTCCCTGTGACCTAATGTCAACACCGAATCTCCACCTCTATCCATAATCCCTGCTAACCCAGGGCTCCCTTTGCAGGCCACACCCATTCTGTGGACTAGCTCTACTTCTGCTCTGGTTTGGGTGGACACGTTCCCTCCATTCCCAGAGTAGTTCAGGCTTGAGTTCAACCTCCTAGTCCTCCCTTTGACCAAGCCCAGGCTTTCTCTGCTATTACCTTTTTCTTCACAGCTTTCCTACCCATCCATCCATCTACCCATCCTCCATCCATCCATCCATCCACCCATCCATACCCATCCACCTGTCCTCCATCCATCCATCCATCCACCCATCCATCCATCCATCCATCCA